CACCTGAGCCCAGAACCTCAGTTCCTTTTCCTTGTCTTGCACGTAAGAGTTACAAAGCTCTCTGCAGATGCTTTGTTACATGCATTAGAACAGTGTCAGGCACATAGTAAACACACCATAAGTGTTTGCTATTATGACTATTGTACATTTTTTTATTCCTTGTAGTTAATAATTACCTTGTTTTTCACATGCTTAGTTTTTTGGTATAAGTATTAATTCAGGGCCAATGTCTATAACAGAAGTGTAAATCGCCTTTTGTGGGTTCAAACATTAAGTTCTCTCAATTTTATCTTTCCCCCATCCCCCAACCATTGTTTGGTTACCCCAAAACAAATGTAACCATAGTATCCCATATAGTTCAGCTATAAATAATAGTTACAAAGTCATAATAATGTGAATGTTCAACATTGCTTTGACAAAAACTATAATCAGAAGATGGACGGGCCGGCCCTGTGGCTTGGTGGTTAAGTGCGCGCGCTGCAATGCTGGTGGCCCGGGTTCGGATCCCGGGTGCGCATCGAGGCACCACTTCTCCGTCCATCCTGAGGCCGAGTCCCACATACAGCAACTAGAAGGATGTGCAGCTATGACATACAACTATCTACTGGGGCTTTGGGGGGAAAAAATTAAATAAATAAAATCTTTAAAAAAAAAAAAAGAAGATGAAGAAGTGTATATATGAGGGGCAGTCGTTGAAATATCTGAAACTACAAACAAAGAGAAAGTATGTTATTTAGAAATATGCAGATAGATTCTAGAGAAAAGATTTGGAAATGGCTGCCTCAAGGGAGTGGGAGTTGGGGGTAGGGATAGATGGGAAAAGGGACTGCTGTTTATTGTTTATGTCATAAATTCAATTTTTTTTTCACTGCCTACCATATTCCAGACAAAATTGAATTTGATTAGAAACAAAATGGACAAAGATCCCTGTCTTATGAAGCTTACATTCTAAATTAAAAGTAAATATTTAAAAATCCTCCACATGTAAAATAAATTTTAAAAATAGTAAGCAATGAGCAGAGCACAGGAGTTGGCAGATAGTACTAAATAAATAGCTATCGGTTATAATTTGAAGACCTCCAACTGCCATGTTGGAGAATTTACGGGATGCCAGGCGTTGGGCCACGTGCTTTCCCAACTTTTCGTTTTCTCCTCACAACACCCTATGAGGTAAGCACTGCTATTATTATCCACATTGGCCTCAGAGAGATTGAAGAACTTGCCAAAATAGTTATTGAGAGAGGGCTGGGATTGATACTCCATTTGTTCAATCTATAGCCAAAGCACCTAACCACTACATACTACTGCAGTGAGTAGGATAAAGCTGGAAATTTGGCAACTCGTGATTGGATCTCACTTTTCAGACAGATGAGTGCTTGACATTGGGGCCCAACACCCCATGCTTAGGATGTATAAACTGGTAAGGAAGGGCCTTAGTGGACCATCAGCCCAGAGGGAGCCCCTGAAGTGCTCCTCAGGTAGGTAAAGTGAGCTTCCCTGTTAGAGATGACAATCACCACGTACAGAAGCTTCCCGTTCTGAGAAATGGGCACCAAATTGAGACTGACACTCCCAGACTAGGAGAGTCACACTGTCGGGATTATCTAGTCATCAAAGTTGTGTTTACTGAGGGCCTTCTATGAGCAGGTCACTGCTATGGAACAGGTTGGAGCTCCTGGCAGTTTGGATTAGGGTAGTGGTTGTGGGACTCAAGAAAGTAGAGTGACAAGACTTGGGGACTGATTGGTTATTGAGATGATAGGGTTGCCCCAATTTCCACTCTTTTTAACCCTCCCCTCTCCCCTCCCCAGGGCTATACAAGGGAATGATGGAAAAATCCCATTCCAGGTTCAACAAAAGTCTCGTGTTTTGCAAACTGAGCAACGCAGGGTGAAGGCGTGGCTGGGGCGGACCAGTGGCTTGCCCCATTGCACACAGAGTTAGTGGAACTGGATCGTCCAGGCTCCCAAAGGGGACTTTTCACTTTTTAAAAAAATGTGCTTATATTTGTAACTTGTTACAATGAACATATATTACTTTTGTAACTTTAGATGTACATATGTGTGTGTGTTTAGTCAGAAACCCTAGATAGCCTCTTGTTCGAGTAACCCACTGGCCTGCGCGGGCTGGTGCTCCAGTCTGAACTCCGCCCGCGCCCAGCCAGTTCGCCCGAAAAGCCGGCGCGGTATATCCCGGCGAGGCGCTGGGAGCGGAGTTTCAGCGCGTGCGCAGAAGGCGCCGTAGGCGCATGCTCGGTGGCGTCCCGGCCCGGCTGCGGGCATGGCGGCCAGCCTGTGGATGGGCGACGTGAGTGAGGGCGGCCGCCCGGGTCCCAGGAGGGAGGAAGGGTCTGAGGGGAAGGGGTCTTTGGATCCCAAAAGGGTGGAAGTGAGTGGAGAGGGGAGTCCTTTTGGGTGACGGAGAAGCGGGTCCCAACGTCTAGGTGAAGACACTGAGTCTGAGGGGGAGGGTCTTGGGGCCCCGCCTGGGTTCGTGGAAGGGAAAGGGAGGTTCTTTGTGGGGGTAGAATGGAAGGAATCCCAAGGACTGAAGGGCGCTGTGGTTCTAGGACTGGAGGGGTGGGGTTCCTAC